GTATTCTTAAAATTGTGGAGAGAGAAATTATTCTTAAACTTTTAAAGAGAAACTATTATAAATTTTAGAAAGAGAAATGGCCAAAAACAAAAATTTAGAGAGAGAAATATCTCTGTTTTTAGGGAGAGAAACTATCTTGAATTTTGAGTCTTCAAGGGAAACTATCTCGAATTTTGAATTTTAGACAGAGAAAATATATTAAAATTTTAAAAATAGAAATTATATCAAATTTTAGAGAGAGAAACTACCTAAAATTTTTTAGACAGAAACTATCTCAAAATTTTTTGGAGAGAGAAACTATCGTAAAATTTATGCTTTAGAGAGAGAAAATATAATAAAATTTTAGAGAGATAAACTATATCAAATTTTAAATAGAGAAAAGTACTCAAATTTTAAATAGAGAAAAGTACATGAAATTTTTAGAGTGAGAAACTATCTCAAAAAAATTTAGGGAGAGAAGCTATCTCAAAATTTAAGTTTTAGAGAGTGAAATTATATCAAATTTTAAACTTTAGAGAGAAAGTATATCAAAGTTTAGAGAGACACTATATCAAATTAATTTTAAAGAGAGAAGCTATTTCAAAATTTTAGAGAGAGAAAGTATATCAAACATGAAGTTTTTGAGAGAGAAAGCTTCTTAAAATTTAAGAGAGTAACTATATCAAATTTTAGAGAGAGAAAGTACATAAAAAATTTTAGAAAAAGAAACTATCGCAAAATTTTTAGAGAGAAATTATATCAAATGTTAGCTTTTAGAAAGAGAAAGTATCTCAAAATTTGAGAGAAAAACTATATCATATTTTAGAGAGAGAAACTACTCAACAATGTTTAGAGAGAAACTATCTCAAAATTATTGTAGAGTGGAACTATATCAAGTTTTAAGTCTTAGAGAGAATCTTAAAATTTTAGAGAGAGAAATTATCTCAAAATTTTAGATAGACAATTTCAAATTTTAAATTTTGGATCGAAAGTATATTAAATTTTAGAGAGAGACACCCTATCAAATTTTAGAGAGAGAAACTATCTTAAATTTTTTATAGATACACTATCCCAAATTTTGAGTTTTAGAGAGAAAAAGTACATAAAAATTTTGGAGAGAGAAATTGTATCAAGTTTTGTTAGCAAACAATGGACATGGAAGTAATTGCAAGAAATCCATGAATTTTGTATAGTTTATCCAAACAAGAGATTTGATGAATCCATGACAAAATCCTTGATATTGAAAATCCATAGATTTCCTTGGATTTCAAATATCTAGGATTTCTAATTTCCTCCTATCCAAACGGGCCTCTTAGAGTAAGAATTCAAAGCACGATTAGAATTAGAACATCCCTAATGCAAAAGTATAGAAGTTGCAGCTCGTGTTTTAATTTTCAGAAGGGACCACCTAGGTGGGATGAATGAGGCGCCCTAAACAAAATGTAGAGGGGTAGGGGGATGTCAGGGGGTTTTGTTTTCATACCAAACACCACTAATTATGATTCTTTATTAAAAAGATGTTTTAGACTTTTAGCGTGTTTTGTGTCATTTTGTTTTCATACATACAAGAGCTTGGAACTTGAAGATTGGAAGTTGAAACATTAGAAATCTAGAAGATTGAAACTTGTCTAAACTTGAAAGTTGAACTTGAAATAAAACAACAATTAGCCATACAAAATTCAAAATCGAGTCTATGGACCACAGGCTGCATTCCCAAGTCCCTGCATAACAAAACAAGGAATCAAATTTCACATTGTGAACTGAGATTCATCATCAAGGCCAACACCCTCCAGCATCACTACCATCTCCACATCTGCCCCTTGTATCTGATGCTTACCCATCATGATAAAAGTCATCCCCTCCTCAACATGGTGCTTTTCTTCCTATGTTACCTCTGCGTTAGTCCTCATCCTCCTCTGTTGTCCTCAAGCTCTTGCTGGAAGATCTTGTCGTGTGCACAGGGATCAATGAGCTTCTTAGAGCCTCATGAAATTGGCCCAGCTCAAACTCTCTCTAGGAAGCACCTGAGGCTCTCTAGCATTAACCGGCCACTCATTGGAATCATCCATGGCTCTCGCAACAATGAGGTCGATATAAAACCGCTCCTTAGAGTGATCCTTCAACCTTTGATTACAATGATACACAAGATAATCCAGTTTCTTTTGCTCAAGTTTGTTTCTCTTTTTCTTGTGGACCTATGGCATAATACTTGAATTTATGATTTAGAAATAATAATACAAGTTGAGTCATATGAAAATGGATGGGATAATGTTAGAAGAGAAATCAGCAACTTAACGAGCTAAAGTTGCACTCACTACTAGATGAGCTTCTGGTTAGGTTTAGTATGTGAAGGGCCATGCTTTGCAAGTGCTGGGCATTTTCCCCATGGGGGGCTCACAATGGGCATACATTACATAACAATGACATTTCTTAGTGACAGGTTTATAAAGTACATCAGTGTATTACACAATACTCAAATCTCAAATTCACAATGAAGTATGCACCAAGCATTGCTGTAAAATTCACCTGCCTGGGGGCCTATACCAAGGTGAGCCCTGGGTGCATAGCCTAGGGGCTAGGTGGGTACCAGGGTGGTCATGTTATGAGGAACCCACCTTTTGCTGTAAGCAGTCTCCTCAAAGGTGGGCGCCTGGGCAGGCCTAAAAGATGCTAGAGCGAGAGAGATTTGCTTGAAGAGACAGTGAGAGAGAAGAGAGGAGAGAGGAGAGAGAGTCCTGTGAGTACAAAAGAGAGGAGAGAAAAAGAAGACAGGTAGGAGAGAGTCACATGGGCTTGCTGCTTTATGTACTTCACGTAATATTCTTGATTCATCATCGTCATCCAAGCCTTATCCGAATTATTTGGGGTAATATTCTTGATTCCTTAGTGCTAATATTCTTGATTCCTCAGTGCTAATAGCTGTCTAACAAGAGGGCAAGAGAGAGATTCAGTCCCCTCAGTGCTAATAGCTGCCTTGGGCACCTTGGTTCCTTACACGCTCGGGGCACCCTCCTTGGCTGCCTTGGGCCAAGGCTCTAGGCCTTCTTCTAGGTGGTGCCAAGGCCACCTAGGCACCCACCCAGGGCTCCCTTCCTCAGCAAGGCATAGAGCTTCGGCCTGAGGACCACCTCAAGGTGCCGCCTAGGCCCTGAGGCAGGCTGTTGCTTTAAACATCATTGCAAGAATGCTGCTTCCTTAATTCTTTACCTTGCTTCCTTTTGATCAAGACACTGGGTTTTTGAATTATTATGAGTTCCCCAGTATTCTTGTGCTGCTTCAACTGAACTTTCAACATTATTTTACCTTTCATGCAGGAAAAGCCTCATATGTTCAAATTTGTTCCGAATAAAAAGCAGGTGAATTAATTTCCCAAACCCCTATAGCGAGTTACTTGCATCCCTACCAATTACTGGCTCTTCATGAACAGGTCAAGGCTGCTAACAGACTTCTTAAAACAGTCTCACGTACAAGAGCTAAGAGGAGGCTTGAGGGTGTTCCTGTATTTACTGCTCGAAATTTAAGTATTGCAATAGCTACGACTGATGGAATAAAGTGGTATGTTTTTCTCACTTGTATAGTAGTTCTGTTCAATAGTGAATGGCACATATAGCACATTAACATATTTATTTGTTTACAGTAAGCTATCAACAAGTTTCTCTTGCTGTCCGCAATTATTAATTGACCTGAATTTGAGTGTACCAACAGTCACATATGTATGATCGGACTTGATATTATGTGAGCAGTTCAAAAGAATCATAAAGAGTAGTAAATGCGATAAGCTAGCTACTTTTTAACTCGGTTGAACTCCTGTTTTGTGTTCTGGAGCCGTAATTTTTAAAGAGTAGGTCTTCTTTCCCCTAAATGGGGGAAAAGGGCTTTTGGGCTATTCTACTGTGCTTGATTTTGAGATGGAAACATTTTTTTTAAAAAATAAAACAAGATCTTTTAGCTTTTTTTGAAGATTGGAATTTTTTTTGGCACATATGATCTGTTGCTTAAGAATTTAAAAGCTGGTCGTCTGTAGACAAGTGGTAGCAAAGAGGTGTTTCAGCTATCAAAGCTCACTACTTGAGCCAACTTTGATTGGGTTTCGAAAGGTTAGTGCATTTCAATTTTGGGTTTAGGGTTTGATGATATTTTTCACAATTGAGCTTCGATGTATTTTTTATTCAATTTTGGCTTTTGTTTTAGTTTTCTTTTCAAGATTTCCAATAACCCACAAAATACCTTATGAATAGTTTTATCTTTTTATCACTTGAATAACAATTTTTTTTGAATGTTTACTTGGGACTTGGTGAGAATCAAACTTTAGGCATCATGTTATGGCACTTGTCCCTGTGACAAAACCTCTGCTTAGAGCCTGTGCTCTTTATTGCTTGATGATTATTATATAAATTCAATCAGGGGGGTTTGGTATCAGACCAAACCCCCCACCCCTATCCCTTTACCCACCCATCCCCTGCCACACACACACAAGTACCCTCGAGGACCCAATCCCCCACCCCTTCTCTGTTTTGGGTTACCTCTAACACGAGGCACCCTCATGACACATGGACATCTGGGCAGCCCCATCTGTATTCTTAGACACTGATATATAGTGTTTCACTTGGCATGAAAGGAAAATATTGTTACTCAATGACCTATGTCTTGTAGTACTTCTGGTTTATTGATCATGTGACATCAATTCATAAACTTTCACTGTATGCTGGCTGTTGGCAATGCTTGGAAATACAAGTCTTCCCCAGTTGCATATGATCCAGGATAATGCAGATCAACTTGGCAGATCATGGAGATGGACTCTTTATCTATGGGAATGACTTGCCCAAAGAAGTAGCTTTCTGGAACACTGAAAGCTTTACACACTAGACTAGTTTCTGGACCTCTATTGATACTTTTTTGAGGGAATATTAAGTATTTTAGAGGAATACAAAAATGCCCCTATTTGACTACCCACAAGCTCGGAAGCTCAAAAAACAAAGAAGGGGTGCAATAAGAAAAAGAAAGAAAGTAAAAAGAGCAGAGAGCCTACAAGGTGTTGGCTGTTATAAAAGTCCAAGAGAAAGTGTAGAAGAAGAAGAGGGAGATGAAGAGGAAAGAATTATGGGAGGGATGAGAGAGGAAAAAGAGAGTAGAGCTTCTATATTGTGCTGTGAGTGCAAGGTAGTTCCTTCTTTGGCCAATCTATCCGCTACTATGTTGGCCTCCCTTGGATTATGGCTGAATGTAACTCGAAGTCCCCTGCAAATAAAATGATTGTGGTCAAAGAAATGGGTTAGTCGCCAAGGTGGAGTTGATTTCCTGGTTGCCGATGACTTTGCTGCAGTCTCTGTCCACTAAAAGGTTTTTGGTGTTATTTATTAAGGTGGAAGCTTGCTGAAGGCCCTCTAGGATGGCTATGATTTTAGGTGTAGCGAAATCTGTGTCCTATGTAGCATGAGAAAGAGAGAATCCGTCCGTTGTGGTCTGATAGAATGCCCTCGTACCCCTAGTGTCCTGGGCTCCCTAAGGAGCATCCATCTATATTTGGCTTTAACGTGCCCAGTGGAGGAGGGACCCAGTTCACCCAGGCTGAGGAGGGTCTAGGGGCTAACAAGAGGACGTTGTGCCAATTGGAGAGGAAAACTGAGGAGCCCAAATTAGCGAATATCGGCAGTTTCTGTGACCAGAATACAATTGAGGCTTTGGTACTGTTAAGAAGAGAGGGTAATGGTTGTGCCCAAGCTCGAAAGAGTCTATAGTTTGTTTCCTTCCATATAGTCCAGAGAAAGGGTAGAATTGTCGGTGTCCATATCTTGCAACCTGTGTTAGGGAGCAGAGGGCAGAAGTAAGCGTGAAAGGGTTGCCTCAAGTTTTGTCTGTAGAGCCACAGCTCAACGAATAAATCGACGTGTTTGACCCATAGAGGAGAGATAACGTGGCAATGGAAAAATAAATGGGTGGCTGTCTCCTCATCCTGTTGCACATAATACAATGACTAGGAATGGAGAGCCCCTTCTTTGTAGGTGGTCAATAGGGAGATTTTGGCATGTCCAGTATCCAGGCAAAGGCCTGTATCTTTAGCGGTGCTAGGACAGTCCACATCTTACCGAAGATTGGGTTATAGGAATGAAGACGCTGCAACGAGGAGTAAAAGGAAGAAACCATGAAAACTCCTTTTGGTGAGGGGCCCCAAATCAGTTGACCACACCCCTCCGAGGGAAGACAGATTGCAAGTATTGTTGAGGTTTAGAAAAATTAGTACTTCATTTTCAGTTAAGGCCCTACTAAAGAGTGTAGTCCCTATTGACAGGCCCTCTAGTTTGTCCACATAGTCTCTAACATGAGCAAGTCTGAGGCTATTGAATCTGGTCCCTGCCATTGGTCAGCGAAGGTCTGGGTTCCCATCCACAGGTCCATCCAAAATTTTACCTTATCACCTAGTGTTTCTTTGAATATAGCCCTGGACAGGATTCAGGCTCTGCTCGTGGTAATGCTCAACCAAGATCGAGATGCTCTATGCCTAGGAAACTTTGCAAACCAACCATTCTCATCACCCCCATACTGCAGACTAACTCTTTCCACAGTTGGTCCTTTGCTGTGACCTATATGTTTGGTTTTTTCAAATTCCTTGTACCCAAACCACCTGCTCTTTTGGGTTTGCATTTTTCTTTCCAGGCGACTAGATGAATATTTTTCACCTCCGGCCCTCCAGTTCACAAGAAATTTCTCCTGAGTTGTTAAAGCTTTGATGCCACACTTGCAAGTATGGCATCAAAGCTTTCTATTCCTTAATATCCAATCGGCAAGTCTCTTTTGGAAGTTTTCTATTACTAGGTCCCAAAGTCCTTTTCTTGGTTTTAGCTAAGCCCAAGGGCAACCCCAAGTAAGTGGAGGGAAACTCATCAGAAGTAACCCGGGTTGGAACTGAGAGCGTTGACATCTTGCTCTATCCTCACCCGAAGTATCCTAGCATTGTTGAAGTTAACTTTCATACCAGAGGATAATTCATAGCATCTCAAGAAGAGCTAAAGTTTTGCAGCTAAGTAGTGCAAGCATCTGTGAACAATGGTATCGTCAGCATACAGCTAAGTAGCCCATTAGGTGAGGAGTGAAAACCCATGGAGGGTACCTTGGTGATACAAATCGGAGATTGACCTAGAGTCCATAGATGGCAAATAGATACTTTAAAAGGAGAGACGGTCTACATAGATATTTTAAAAGGGCAATTTCCTAATGAAGATTCTTGATCAAGAATAAAAGGATTTCTTGGTATGACTGAATTATACAAGAACCGAATGGAATATTCAATGCGCAGCACAATCCCTATGCGCTTTGTCGTTGCATCCTTGGTTATCGTATATGCATTGTCATTGTGCTTCTTTAAAGGGAAGCATGGCAAATTGGTTGAAGGAATAATACAATGATGACAACTGGTGTTCCCATCCGTCGTTCCTAGCTACCCATTATTGTTTGGCATTGAGATTACTTTTCTGATCTCTGGAATCTGTGGCACATTTGCTTGGGCTAACAAGCTGAGTCCAATGTTTAAAAAAGCGCAGGCGGGCACTTAGGCGTTTTGTGGGCCTGGCCGCCTAGGCAGCCAGACGACAGATAGGGACAATTCACATAAGAATTAAGATAGAAGTTAAAATATAATTATTATTTATTAATTAATATCCATAAGTTTGGTTTTGGATATCAAATATTCACAAAATATCAATTTCATCCAAAGTTTATGACTATTCACAAAATATAAGTCCAAATAAATCGGTAAATGTTCCATCTACCAGTATGTAAAATATCCAAAAAGTAAAACAAAACTAATAGGATATCAAAACATCACACATTGTACAAAATAAGAACCAATTATTCATAAAAGAATTCGATATAGGACCAATTTCATCGTCCAAATGAGTTAATAATCAATTAATCACAGTTCACAAAACAAAATCAATCTTTTAACTACAAACATGTAAATATATCATAAAAGGAAAAAAAAAAAAATCAAATGCAATTTTCGAAAAGTCGGCCGCCCAGCCGCCTAGGCGGACTTTTCAGTAAACGACTAGGCGTGGGTAAGGCGGGCAGTATTAGGCGGAATCCTCTACGCCTGCTTAGGCGATGTAAAAGGCAGGCGCCTAGGCACTGCCTTGAAAATATAATAATTAATTTGTGATTATTAATTCGTAATTCTTAATTCATATTTACTAATTTATCTGTAATTAGTGATTATTAATTTATCGAAAATGCTTTTTTACATGTGATAGTAATTATTAATTTATTGGTAAACAAAAGATAATATTATTTCGTAATTATTAATTTCTCGAAAATACTTTTTGCATGCAATACTAATTAATTTATTGGTAAACCAAAAAGATAGTATTAATTCGTAATTATTAATTTCTTGCAAATGCTTTTTGTATGTAATTGTAATTATTAATTTTATTGGTAAACGAAATGATATTATTAATTCGTAATTATTAATTTCTCGAAAATGCTTTTTGCATGTGATAGTAATTAATTTATTGGTAAAAAAAAAAGATGGTGTTAATTCGTAATTATTAATTTATTGAAAATGCTTTTTGCATGTAAGAGTAATTATTAATTTATTAGTAAACCAAAAAATATGGTAAACTAAAAAGACAATATTAATTCATAATTATTATTGTATAATGTATACAATAAAATAGGGGGAGGTGTGAGGACCAACTTTAAGAAAAAAAAAGACAATGAAGGCCGCCTTTGGGTTTGGGTGCCCGCCTTAGCGACTAGGCGGCCGCCTACGCCTTCTTGAACATTGATCAAATGATTCAAAACATAGTATGTTATAGCAAAAAAGAAATCGAAACCCTTATTCAAATATCATAATGTCATAATGCTAAAAAAATATCAAAATGGAAACGATGTCAGCCGAAACCTCTTCTATTCGATCGCTTAAAGTTCTCACTATTGACCACAAGAAGCTCTGAAAACTACCACAAAGTATTGCCTTTGATTTCGGATGAAATAAAAAAAATAAAAAAATTATCGATCTTTCGATAAATCACAAAATAGAGGTGTTTTTGGGGAGCACGGATTTGGTTTTGGGGGTTTAGAATATCCCCCAAAATCCTTGTCCCCTTTTTAGGGGGTAAAAATTACTATTTTGACTATAGTTGAGGGCATTTTTCTTCCCTCGGCAACCTGCATCGAGGCGGCGCCTAGGTGGCTGCTTTGACTGTAGTGCCTAGGCGAGCACCTAGACGCAAGCTGCCTAGGTGCCCCGCCTAGGTTCCGCCTAGGCAGTTTAGGCGATTGGCCGCGTGGGTCATCGTTTCCAATTGGCTGAGTCAATCATTTGGGAGACCAAATGAGTCATCTTTTCCAATTGTATGGTGTCTTTCCTGAAATGATAATTCTAATCAAAGATGCCAAGTGATATGTGCAGTTGTAACAGTGCAAATAGGAATGACATATTTGGAAAACCTAAATGAGAAGAGTTTGACACAAAGATTATGACATATGACCTAGTTTGTGGTGGCAGAGAACAAATTAATTTTTACATAATTTTTACTTAAGAAATAAGGGGCGTTTATCTTCATTTCATTGCATTTACGTGTCTACTTGGTGTTTTATGATTATTCAAAGAATCCTTTATTTTCCCTCGTTCAACTTTTTGGCTTGACTTTTTAATAGTATTCAATTTGCCTGCAAAATTTTTAGACCCTTAAAACAAGTTTGTTGTATCCTGACGCATGTTATTGTCTTCAATCAGGTACACACCATATTTCTTTGACAAAACCTTGCTAGACAATATCCTTGAAGCTTCAATTGATCAGCATTTCCACACATTAATACAAAATCGACACATGCAGCGTCGAAGAGATGCCATAGATGATAACCTTGCAGCGGAGGTGGTTGAAGAGAACTTCGACAATCTTTTTGAACCCCCTGAGGTATCCATCTGCAAGGGTTTTACATAGTGCTACCTACTTCATATTTAACAGTGTTCAGCAATTTGACCAAATCCACTAGGACTCAGCCTGAGTTACTCACCCTCGGCCAATGGCTGAGCCGAGTAGCCATGTGCCCACTCAGGTACATGGGTTTCTCTCTCTCTAAGGGGGGAAGTTCTGGCCCTCTTTTGCATCTCTCTTTGAAAGGGGATATCTCTCTCTCTCTCTCACTCACATGAAGGGGACGGAAATCAATCCCTCCTCTCTCTCTCTCTCTCTCTCTCTCCTACCGTAACGGTAA